ACAAATAATATCATCATATAACAAACAAACAGAGACGAAGTGGTCCCGCTATGGATGTTATACATCATGTAACAAATGCTACGTAAACGTGTCTAAATGAATCGGATCCAGTTAAGAAGTGTATTGAATATTTTTAATGGATTGTCATTGAAACACGTGCACTTTGTGTTAATAAACTAAAGTAAAAAAAGGTTTTTGAATAAAACAAAGCTTTTTGGGATAATTTTCCCGTATGTGTGTGTGATTCTTGTTCATTAGGCTTCATAGTGGATATACGAATATTAAAAATATTTAGTAATAAGAAGTTTAATATATACGATTAATACTAGAAAAAAAGAATTATTCTCGACACTTTGCTCTATAAAGGGGATAATTATACCAACATGATCTAAAACTGAAAATGACGGTAGATAAGGTTTAAATAATTAAGTAGATGCACAATTTGACTAATTTTTTTAGCGTCAAATTTCATACCCAGCTCTGCCCTTGGTGAAGGTCTACAAGTAATAGTGAACTTTCAGTCCATAATGGGCTTTCTTTTCGAAGCTCTTGTAATGCACGTTAAATGTCTTACCTTAAAAGTTTGGTATTTTTATTTTAAGGTTATTGTAGTCCTTCGCATTTTTTCTCTTTAAAACTCGGAACACACGCACAAATTGGTTAAAAATGAACCGACTTTCTGCAAGAATCTTAACTAACCTTCATTCTTCGAGAAAATTGTTGTAAGACAGGGGAAGTGAGAAGGTGTAACAGTGAAGTCGAGAAATTTGGCAGAAATGGCAAAGCAGTTGCGTCACTTCTTGTTCAAAGCACCCCATCTCACAGTAGAGATGTGGTTAAGATTTTTACTGTCTGAATTTGGTACATTTAATACATTAAATTTAATAATTTTGCTTCTACAGAAAACAATATTCTACATCAAGAAGTAATAAATATCTTGAAAATATTTTAATTATGAAATAATTTTCTAATTCAGGCTTAAGCACTTAATCTAACCATTAGCATAAACCGGGAGTTAAATGGTGTGAATCAGAAAAGAGTGTAAAACTTAAACTACAGCAATATCTTTATTTTCCTCATTGTATCTGGATATTTTATTACTGTACATTTCGGTTATTATAGGAAACAAGCCAAAATGCTGAACATTTGATTTACCAATCTCTGACTTGTAGAATTTTTTTGTGGCGTGAGTTTAGCTCAAACTCAACTATTTACAATAGTTACTGTACTACAGCAACAATATATGGTTTCTTCTATAAAATATCTTAATTTTTTCTATATATGAGAAGCTTTAATATGAATTCGATTTGCTGTTAGGCCGATTATAATTTTAAGCATATTTCCTATTTAACCTTGTTATCAAACGTAGTATTAGTATACTATTTTTTTTCTAAAGCCAGCAGTTGTGTTATGTATCATGACAATATCTTTTTCATTTCAACTTCCCAAATGGAGCCATTAACTATCTGGGGATTCCTGGCCTATTTTTAGGTCTAAAGGGAAATCCCTTTGACGTCTGAAATGAAAAGGAGGTTTCTGGAGCACGTGATTGGCGGGATCGATTCAAACGAAGTCTGACGAATATTAACATCTCAGTAGAGGAATACCTCACCTTTTGGTCAGTATTAAAAAAAGCAATATCAAGTCACGTTATTTGTATTTATCTGGATTAATATAAAGATTAAGTATATTACAAGAATGATATAATCAAAAACTGTTTTGTTTACTGTTACACACATATATGCACATATTTGCAATAACGTCTTTCTTTTTTAGAAAAATCACACCCGGAATTTATAAAATGGAATTAACATGTATATACATGTTCTTGGAGCGGACAAGTTAGAATTTTTGTGAAGGACTGACTAAAAATTTTGCAAATTTCTGTCTCCGTAATGTATACATTGATATAAAATTTTATAGCCTCTCCCTGTATGAGAATCGGGACACCCAGTTCGTCCATATATGACAAATCAAGATATAGATATATTCTTCCTGTCTGTACTAGCATCTGAAATAAAACAAAATACAAATGTACGCTTGGAGGGAAAAACAACCAAAATAAGTCTATTTTCCAATAAACATGTTTTCCATAACTGTTAAAAGCTTAATATCAATGTTTGGCTCTTTAGACTGCCATTCAAATATTTCCAGGATAAACAGTGTTTATAATTTAGAACGAAGCTACACAATTGGCTATCTCTTCTTTGCCCATCACGGATATCGAAACCGGTTTCCAGCGTTGTATATCCGCAGATATACCGCTGTGTCACTAGGGGGGGGGGGACATTGTTTATAACCCTACATACAATCATCTTCTTTATTGCTGCTTTCTCAAAGGCTTCAGTAACATAAAACTCCCCTCTTTCCTGAAAATTGTGTTATTCAATCGTAAAAAGTAGAATAAAAAGTATGGCCCCAATTAACATTTATCGTTGTATCTCACCTAAGAAATCCTGAAACATTTTAAATAGAAAGAGAACTCTTAAAGATTTTAACCTACCATTTGAGGTTAATGTAGAGTAATATTTTGAGGATAACATAGTTTCAAGTGTTTTCAATACAACAGGATCACACTTCTTTCTAATACATAGGGTTGGCCCGGCATGGCCAGGTGGTTAGGGTGCTCGACTCGCAATCTGAGGGTCGCGGGTTCGAATTCCCATCCCACCAAACATGCTCGCCCTTTCAGCCGTGGGTACGTTATAATGTGACGGTCAATCCCACTATTCGTTGGTAAAAAGAGTAGCCCAAGAGTTGGCGGTGGGTGGTGATGACTAGCTGCCTTCCCTCTAGTCTTACACTGTTAAATTAGGGACGGCTAGCGCAGATAGCCCTCGTGTAGCTTTGCGCGAAATTCAAACCAAACCAAACCAAACTGATACATAGGGTCGCATTATAAGCAGTTTTTGGCTTTGCTTTGCAATTGACTAATATGTGCACGTTAGTAAAATGCCCAAAGTTTCTTGCTTTTTTACATTGCATTTTTACGTACCATAAGTCGATTTCGGCTAGGTCGCACCAGAACAGTCAATATTGATTACACGCTTAACCCGAGGAGCAAGATTCTAGTTCCGATTTAAACTCGGAACATTCCCAGTATCGGGCACACTCTCCTCTATGTCATAACATGTCGCTAGGATTTGGGCATCGGAAAATACTAGTTGTTGGTAGAGACAATAAACGTGGATTGCAACATCCTGATGAAAAACTGGATCTCTTCATATGATCTGTAGTTCACTGTTAGTGTAAAGCAGATCTGAAAGCAAAATAGTTAAAAAACAGTTGGGAACGACACTTCTGGCGCCTCCTTAATTGACCTGAAAACGTCGTCGTGTACTGCTTTTAGGTCTATTCAACAACTCTTTTAGAAGAATCCTAGGATTTTCAATAGACCAATATATATATATATTGTTTCCTTGCTGGAAAATGTCTGCAGACAAACAATATGAAGACTTGAAAATAAGAATACTTGTAAAGAATAACACACACAAGGTTATTTAGAGCTATTGCCAAAAAACAAAAACAAAAAAAAAACAACCAAAAAACAAATAAGGCACTGAGATAAGCCCACCAAAGATTAAATGTTAAGTTTTTTCTACTTAAGACTTACCCAGTGGGGTAACTACAAACATCCCCCCTGCATAAAAAGTAATTGGTCCCCTACATTTATAGTTACAATTTGCCCCCTCCTCGTAATTGCGGGGGCATACTTACGCCACTGGTGTTACCTCTAGATATCAAACGTTATTTTAATTGCTCAACCAACGAAAACTGTAAACTCATATCTGCTAAACTTTGATAAACTGTTTTCGTAGGTAATAAACTACTGTAAAATGTTGAAACATAGCCAGAAATAATTTACTTACTTTGAAAGTCCAATCAGGTACCCTATCCTCACAATCCATTGTGGTTACATGAACACACACCTTATTGTAGGTATTATACACGGTGTTAATTGGGCACAAAACCTTAGTGGCTACTTGGT